CGTGGGTTCAAGCCCCGTATCGGGCTCTGTGCTGACTGCCAGCTCAGAGCCTGGAGCCTGTTTCGGATTCTGTGACTCCTTCTCTCTCTGACCCTCCCCTGCTCACGCTGTCTCTCTCTCCTAGAAATAAATGAAAAACATTAAAATAAAAAAAAATTTAAAAAAAATGAACATTAAAAATTTTTAAAAAATAAAGTGTACAATCCAGTGGGTTCTGGCATACTTACTGTTGGGCAGCCATCACTGCAACAGTCTTAGAATATTTTAATCACCCCAAAAGGAATCTAGTGCCTTTTATCAATCCTGCTCTGCTTGTGCCCCGAGCCCTCTCCCATCTCCTGACAACCACTGATTTACTTTCTGTCTCTATACAGACATTCTGTTCTGGACATCACCTACCAATAGAATCATCCCATATGTGGTCTCTTGTCTGGCTTCTTTCATGTGACATATATGATGGACATTTGGGCTGTTTCTGCTTTGGGGCCATTATGCAGAATGCTACCGTGAGGGTTCATGGACAAGTTTGTATGGAGGTATGCTTTCCTTTCTTGTGGCTACATACCTACCAGTAGAATTTCTGGATCATCTGGCAACTCTATGTTTAACATTTTGAGGAACAGGCAGACTGTTTTTGAAAGCAATTTCACCCTTTTACATTTCCATCAGCAATGTATGAGGCTTCTAAGTCCGTACATCCTTGCCAACACTTGTTATTGCCTGTTTTTTTGATGATAGACTCCCTATTAAGTTTGAAATGGGATCACATGATGGTTTTGATTTGCGTTTCCTGCATCGCTAATGACATTGAGTATGTCTTCATGCACTTAGGGGCCATTTATATATCTTCTTTGGAGAAATGTCTATTCAGATTCTTTGTCAAATTTTTAATTGAGTTAGAGCAAAACCTTCGTTTGCGAGCATAATTTGTTTTGGAAACATGCTTGTAATCCAAAGCACTTGTATATCAAAGCAAATTTCCCCACAAGAAATAATGGAAACTTGATGATTCATTCCACGACCCAAAAATATTCACATAAAAATGATTGCAATACTGTAATGTAAAACAAAATAATAAAGAAAATACAAAGTGTAAAGAAAAATAAACAAATTAACTTGTACTTACCTTTGAATGTTTTTTTTTTGTTTGTTTGTTTATTTCTAGGAGAGAGAGAGAGAGAGAGACAGCATGAGCAGGGGAGGGTCAGAGAGAGAGGAAGTCACAGATTGAAACAGGCTCCAGGCTCTGAGCTGGCAGTCAGCACAGAGCCCGACGCGGGGCTCGAACCCACGAACTGCGAGATCATGACCTAAGCGAAAGTCGGATGCTTAACTGACTAAGCCACCCAGGCGCAACCTTCCTGGCTGGTGTGCAGGAGACAAGAGAGAGGAGGGTTATTGTGTAGGACAACTTTCACTATTACTAACTGAATCACTGCTATCTGTTGGCTCAACAGAATCTTTTTCTGCATGGGGGCCGTTGTATACACTTGCACGGATGTTGACTACAGTGCAGTATTATAAAGTCTTGTCATCTACTGTATTTAATGTAACTGGCAATAAGGCAGCAGAGGAAAAGGTCTATATCTGCAGGCAGCCTGACCTAGAGGGAAGCAAAGCCTTCCTAAGCTTCCTCTTGTATGGAAAAGCAAAGGACTGTCCCTTGGTGCTTTGAAGGGACAAAAAATACACTAGTGCCAGTTGTGGGCACCTTTCAACATTCTGAAAAATCACTGATTTCTGCCAAACACTGAGGCCTAAGACCAAGAATTTGAGCATGAGAGACAATCACTCACAATCCCATGGGGGGGGGGGCAGAGAGAGAGAGAGAGAGAGAGAGAGAGAGAGCGCTCAGTTGTGGCTCAATTGTGATCATGTGACGTTTGGCGTCACATACTACTCGTATTGCAAGACATCGATTGTTTAATCAAGCTAAAGTTTATTAGAAAGATTTGCTTATCTGGCAGAACACTCGCAGACCAAGGTTTTACTGTTTGCCTTTTTGTTATTGAGTTGTAAGAGTTCCTTATGGATTCTAGATACAAGACCTTATCAGATGTATGATTTGCACATGTTTCCTCCCATCTTGTGAGTTACTGCATTAGCTTGCTAGGGCTGCTGTGACAAAATACCATGTTCCAGGTGGCTTAAATAACAGAAATTTATTTCTCACAGCTCTCGAGGCTGGAAGTCCAAGATCAAGGTGTCTGCAGAGTTGGTTTCTCTCCTTGTAGATAGTCTGTGTCTTCACAATGTCTCCCCTCTGTGTGTGCATCCATGATGTCCTTCCCTCCATTTATAAAGACACTAGTCATATTGGATTCAGGCCCCATCCTAAGGGCCTCCGTTTGAGTTAATCACTTCTTTAAACACTTATTTCCAAATACAGTTACATTCTGAGGTACTAGGGGTTGGGACTTAGACATGTGAATTTTGGGGGGGACACAATTCAGCCCATAACAATTATATTTTCACTTTCTTGATGGTGCCCCAAATTAAAAAAAATAATGTTTTAATTTATTTTTGAGAGAGAGAGAGAAAAGAGACAGAGTGCGAGCAGGGGAGGGGCAGAGAGAGAGGGAGACACAGAATCTGAAACTGTCAGAATCTGAGCTGTCATCAGAGCCTGATACGGGCCTTGAACTCACGAACTGCGAGATCATGACCTGAGTGGAACTCAGATGCTCAACTGACTGAGCCACCCAGGCGCCCTGATGATGTTCCATTTTTGAAGCACAAACTTTTTTTTTTTTTTAATCAGGTCTGGCTTATCTATTATTTTCTTTGTTGCTTGTGCTTCAGGTGCCCCATCTAAGAAACCATTACTTAATCCATGGTCACATTTATGCCTTCATTTTCTTACGACTGTTTTGCAGCTTTAGCTCTTACATGTCAGTCTGGTCTATTTTGAGTTAATTTCTGTACATGGTGTGAGGTAGGGGTTCAGCTTTATTCTTTTGCATGGGGAAATTCACTTGTGCGAAATCCCACACCCTTGGCTGAAAAGACTATCAGTTCCTTATTAAATTGTGTCGCCACTCTTGTTGAAAATGCATTGGTTATAAGCAGAAGGATATAAACATATCTGGACTCTCAGTTTTTCCCCATTATATATATGTCTGTCCTTATACCCATACTGCAGTGTCTCCATTGTGTAGCTGTGTAGATTGTGTAGCAAGTTTTGAAGTCAGGAGGCGTGAGTTCTCCACCTTATTCCAAGTGCATGGAACTTTGGTATCAAATGCGGCGAGAGGTGTGAACAGTTACAACCTGGGGATTTGGGCCCATCCTCAAGGCTTCATGTCAGGAACACAGGCTCCAAGTTCAACACCTGCCTTAGAGAGATGTATCCCCGCCCTTTCAGCCCACAGCTCTTCATGCTAAATCAATGGAAACATTCTGTGGAGAACAATGATCCCCTTGGGTTATTTTAAACATCGCTTTATGTCTCCCCCACCTGCCCTGCTCTCTAATCGCTCCTACAGCGACTGCGTCATTCACAACTGGATTATTAATGAACTAAGAGGGAGCCGGTGTGTGTGTGTGTGTGTGTGTGTGTGTGTGTGTGTGTGTGTGTGAATGAGGGAGGGGGCTTTCAGAGGACCTGAGGGGCCTGAGGGCCTGGAGCAAGCTCAGCCCTGAGGTTTTCACTTTCCCCAAGGAAGGGTATGGCGTTGCCTTAGCAAACAGGAAGTCACTAAATTCAGGTCCTACTGTCCACCTCAAAAGGACATTGCAAGTATGTGATGGCCAAGAACAGTTCTTCAAACTGGACTGCTGGGCGCTGAAAAACTGTGCATCACCCCCAAACTCCCCAAACCTAAGCCTTGTCTGCACCATCCCTGACTGGCCCTGGGCTGCCTAGGGCTCTAAGCTGAGGCGGAGAAAGCTCAGGAAACAAGGCCCTTTGTGGACGAGAGAATGCTATTGTTCTAAAGCCAGTGCTCCGGCAGTGTGGATTCCAGAGAATGTTTTGGTACAGGGTTTTTTCCCTTTGTTAACTTTCTCTTCCCTTCCTGGGGGGATGGGATGGGGAGGTTTACAGCGACTTAAAAATAGTTAAATCCTAACATAGTCATTAAATGATATTTATTCAACAATATATGCAAGTAGAAAGATTAAAAAAATAGTTAAATCCTGTAAAAAAAAAAAAAAAAAAAAAGATGGCGTTCAGAGTGCTGAGGCCTTGGGCCCGGGAAGGAGGCTTGAATTCGACGATGGAAGCCACGTCGATGTGTTTCGCTTTTCGTATTTACCACTAAATCGCCGGAGAGCAGCCCTTTCTGGACCCTGCACACCTCAGTGACAGACGTCAGCCGGAGGTACGACCACTTCCTTCCTCCTTCCCTTGGCCTCCTTTCTTTGCAGGAAGAGGAAATGATGAGAGTCCAGGTCGCAGGCCACAGCCCTCAAGCTCTCACTGATCTCTGCTCCCCCCCCACCCCCGCCCCGTCTGGGGAACCTGCCCCCACAAACCTGTCCCCAGGGCAAGGCCTAGTTGGGCTCCTGGAGGTACAGGAAAGCCTCCAGACTCAGGCTGCGCAGGCCTTCAAGGCAGGAGACCCGGATTTCGGGCACTGGGGTACTGATTCTGTGTGACTTCGGGCGGGCGACTGCTCCCCTCTGGGCTTCAGGATGCCCTTCCATTAAATGGGAGCAGGAATACAGTCCTGGGCTTCCCCCTTTCCGCGTTGGGTGATGGTTGAGGAGGGGGCGTGGACGGGGGGAGGGGAGGACGATAAGGAGGATTATTCTGAAGCCCGGCCGCGTCCTTCGCCCTCGGCCTCCCGCTGCTCCGTGGAGGGGCCCGCGCCCCTCGGGTGCTGGGACCCTTCTGCGAGCTCCCAGGCCGGCCGGAGGCGCGGCGCGAGCGCGCCCACCCACTTCCCGGGAGCTCAGGCCCCGCCCAGGGGGAGGAGCCGAGGGGCGGCGCGGAGGCCGGCGGCCGCGCTCCGCCAGCTTCTGTCGCCGCACGGGCAGCTGCGGCTCGGGGACGGACTGACAGAGCCAGGGCCGGAGCCGCTCGGGGCCGGGCTAGGGAGAGCGGGTGAGTTCCCCCGGCGGCGCCGCCCCTCCCCGGCTGGAGCCGGCGGGGATGAGGACCGCGGCGGGGAGGTGGTCCCCGCCGCGGAAGGTCTGGTTGGGGGTGTGTGGGGCGCGTGGGCCAAGGGCCGGCGACTGGAGGTAATTGGGGGAGGGGGCACTGGAACGGCGGGTGCCGGGAGCGCAGGCCGGGGAGTCGCGCCGGGGTGGGGGCGTTCTCCGGGTCTGGCGCGCCTACGACGAGGCCGGGGTAGGGGGCGCATCGGCAGGCTGTTGGCTGCGGCCACCGTGGCCCGATGTGGGGGCAGCCTGTGGGATTTCGGCTGCTTCTGCCGGGGGGCGCAGTGCCGGGAAGCGGGAGCCACAACCGGCATCAGACGGCCAGGACGTGCAGCCTCGCGGCCCGGCGTGGGGGCGCCGCCCCCTCGCGTGGCGGCGCCAGGTCCCCGCGGGGAGCGCTCCTGCCTGGGCGGGAAAGGTCCCCCGGGCGGGCGCCCCCGCGTGCGGACCCGCCCAGCCGCCGGCTCCAGCTGACGGCGCCCGCCAGCCCCGGGAGACCCGGCGCGCTTTTCTCCCGCGGGAGGTGCGCCCGGCCTCTCCAAAGGGCCGCCGTGCGCGGGCTGCTGGGTCCCCCCAGCCAGGAGCGCGCCTCTCCTCCCGAGTCTCGCGCCCCGACTTTGGCCCGAGGAGCGCCCCCGAGAGCCTGGGATGGGCAGAACCCGTGCAACCCTCCCCGGAGAGGTCGCGCGGAGGGGTCTGCCCAAGGTCACCCAGAGCGCCCAGGCTGAGCTGCCCAGACCGCCCAAGCAGAGAGCAGGGAGGGGGAGGCGCCCGCTGCCAGCCTCCTTCCCTGATGCAGACTCCTTTCCTCCCTCCCTCCCTCCCTCCCTCCCTCCTCCTCCACCAGTCGGGACCCGGCTCCTCGCGAGCTGCTGCTGATGCAGCTCCCAGCCCCGAGCGGATGATTGAGCCGAGGTGAGCTTTGAATCCGGTGTTCCCGGGAGGGCCGCGCGCAAAGCCTGGGACCCAGTGCTCCCGGGCACCTCGGGAGCGGAGCGAGAGGTGGCTGCATAAGCGCTTCTCAGAACCGAAAGCCGAGCTGCTTGCGCGCCCATGTGATTGGATTCCACATAATGGGCCCCTGTTCTCGGCGTCAGAAGCGCCCACCAGCTCCCCGCGGCCGCGGGCACCAGGTGCCGCCTCTGAATCGCCCTCTGTGGAGGACCCAGGGCCCCGGGGTACCAGGCGCCCTTTCGCGCAGGGCTCTCTGGAAGGAGCCTGTCATTAGCCGCCTGAGCCCGCGGGGGTACTTTCCTGAGTGCCCTGCCATTTCCTGCGGCTGGTGAGACACAGAGGGGAAAAACCCTGCATCTGGGAGGCTTCCCCCTAGGTTGGTAATAAAGCTTCTTAGCTCAGCCAGCGGCTGGCGCTCCGCTGGAAGGCAAGGCACTTGGCCTCTGGGAGCCTCAGTTGCCTCTAGGACATGGGGCTAATAATCAGGCGGTGGGCAGCGGTGGTGAGGGGGCCCACGTGAAGTGCTTGGTGCTGTGGAGCTGTGGAGCGGGACAGGAGGAATGCCCCTAGGTAAATATGGACGCCTTTCCTACTGGTTTTGAGTGGGGTGTGTCTCTTTTAGGCAGGAGCCGCGGTGGAGTCCTGGTGGGTGGTTCTGCAGGGGCTGGGGAAGTTTCCACATCTTCCTTCAGCTTGGTCACCACGCTCTAGCCTGCAGGCAGCTTGTGGGCCCTGGTGAGTGAGTCCTTTTTGCTCGTTGCCTGCTCACTGGGCCGTCCCACACAGATTCCCGCCCCCCCACCCCCCAGCCCCTTCTCTCCCACCTGCCAGCAAGATGCTGGGGGCAAGATGTCACTGACGCCGCTCTGGACATTCAACTTGGCACCTTCCGGTCAGCTGGCGTCCTACATAGTGGTGTCGCCTACCCTGAAATCTTCCTCTTCCTTTTTCTTTTTCTTTCTTTCTTTCTTTCTTTCTTTCTTTCTTTCTTTCTTTCTTTCTTTCTTTCTTTCTTTCTAATATTTTTATTTATTTCTAGGAGAGAGAGAGAGAGACAGCGTGAGCAGGGGAGGGTCAGAGAGAGAGAGGGGGATACAGCATCTGAAGCAGGCTCCAGGCTCTGAGCTGGCAGTCAGCACAGAGCCCGACGCGGGGCTCGAACCCACGAACAGCGAGATCATGACCTAAGTGAAAGTCGGACGCTTAACCGACTAAGCCACCCAGGCGCCCCTACCCTGAAATCTTCCTGACCCCTTTCCTGGTCCCAGCCTCTGCAGTGTCACTTGCAGGAAGACCAGGTGACCCTTCCTGTCCCTCTGTCAACCTCCTCCCACAGGGACATTCACCTGCACATTGTCTGGTTAGTGTGTCGAGGCTCCTTGCGTCCTGGATGGACACGCGGGCCCATGTATGTTCAGACTTCGTTCTGGTGCCTGGTGCTGGAGTGGAGGTTAAATTCTAATCAAGCTGCTAAGTCTGTTTGGGAGCCTGGGTGACAGGGGGTCGGAGACGCTGACACAGGAAGGTGGGATTTCCCCCAAGGCAAGAACCTTTCAGCCGAGCCCCATTTGGACTCTTTAGAAACCAGGGCCTCAGCTTCTTTTCAAAACCAGCCCCATCCCCATAGTGACCTTTCTCTGGCCAACAGAGGTTGCAGCTAGCCTGGTTTTGCAGATGGCGGAAGGCACATTCCTGGATTCCTGGGCTGTGCTTTGGCTCTCAAGAATCCCACCCAACCTTGCCGCCTTCCCCCAACTAGCTGCCCCAGCCTGCACCCTGCCTGCACCTAGGACTTGAACCATTTGGCTTATAGCGGGTCCCACATGGCATTCTTCCAGCAGAGACTAGGACAAACCTTCTTTATCCTGAGCACATCCCAGAGATTGGGCTCAGAGAGGGCTTGGACAAGCCTGCCTCCTGCAGAAAGCTACAGAGTTTGAGGAGCAAGGGCACCAGGCAGGTTTAGTTCAAATGATAGCTCTATGTTTAAAAGCTCTGTGATGGCAGGTAAATTACTGACTCTTTCTGAGTCTTGGTTTTCTCATCTGTAAAATGGGAGCAATAGTACTGTCTGCTTCGCAGGGTCAGGAGGATGCTGTGAGACAATAACTCACAGAAAGTGCTTAGTACAGCACCTGGTGTGGGCAGGAATGCAGGAAATGATTATCGTCACCCTCACCACCGTTTCCTGCTCTGCCCTGGGCTGTCAAAAGGGCCCCACCACCTCAAGTCTGGGGGAGTCAGACCTCTTCTGCCTTTAGCCCTGAGGACAGGGAAAGCCTCTTGGTTGGGGAGGCCTGACTCCTGGGAACTGGGGTCCAGCATATGGACCTGTCCCCTGGAAGCCTGGGAGTTAGCCTCTCACATCTGGCTGCCATTTTCCAGGATTTGTGGATTCATTCAATAGATATTTACTCTGTTGTAGACCTTGTGCTTAGTGAGGGATCTCGAGATGAATCAAGCAGCAATCAGGGCTCCCCTCTGCGGGGGAGAGCAGGCCTGGAGACAGGCAGTGAGGACACTGTGCGGTAACAGCTTCACTGGCGACAGGGGGAGAGGAGAGCCGAGTGGCAGAGGGACAGGTGGCCTGGGCTGACCAACCCAGGTTTCACTCCTGAATCTGCCCCTTTGCTGCTGGCTGGTGATGGACAGACGCCTGAGCAAAAAACTCAGCACACCGCCTTTTAGATATTAATCAGGGCTTTGCACAGGCTAGTTGCTATTATTACGAGTCTATGATGACCGGTAACAGGTGGGAAAGCTTAGCTGTGGGGGCGCATTGGAGGTCTTCAGAGATAGTTTCCCAGGTGGCGGGTAAGAGAGGGTTGGGCAGGCTGAGCAGAGAGCGCAACCTGTGCAACAGCACAGGGGCTTGGAAGCGCTTGGCGTCTCTGAGAGCAGGGAGCAGAGGCCGCAGCTGGAGCGCCGTCGCCATAGGGCGTGACGGACACAGGGGCAGCAGGCGCGGCCAGGGAGTGGGGCAGAGGCCATCCTGCCTTGCCAAGGGGTCCCAAATGATTAAACGCTCGCTGACCCGAAGCAGGCATCCTGCGGCCTGTGGAGGGTTGTCCGGTTGCACACCTGGGAAAGTCTAGGATTAACTTTGGCATGGGAGTGGGGGCTGGCCCGGGCTCATCTGCCAGTATGTTAGCCATCCCTTCTTCTTCCTTCTACCAGGAAGGCACGGGAGATCTCCCTCCTTCCTGAGATGCTTTTCCTGTTTCTTCACCTGTTTCTCTCTTCCTGGGACTCAGTCACCCATTTGAAGGAAGGGGATGTACGTGGAGGAAGTGCCGTGATCTGGCTCCTTATTGATTATAATAATTGTACCAAGTGCTGGCACACTTCCTGGTGGCTGTTCACTGTCCAGGGTCTTTGCTTGCAATGCCATAGAGTCATCATGCTGACTTACTGAAGTGGATGCGCTTATCCCTGTTGCACAGAAGGGAACACTGAGGCAGCAAGGGTGAGGCGATTTGCTAAGGGGTCTGCAGCTCCTGAGTGGCAGGAACTCATGTGGGGGGGGAGGTCTCCAAAGCTTCCATGTGCTGCCCTGTACTGCTTCCCTCCTGCTCCTTCTAAATAGTGAAGTGTCTCACTGCTGCAGAGTCTGGCTTTTTTCTCTGTGGACTCTTGGATGCTGGGCAGTGGGCACCTTGGAGATGGGTCATGGCGAGTGGGCTCTGGGCACCTGCATGCTGCTCCATTCTCTCCCTGCCCTGATTTTTGGGGAGGCCCCGTGGGCAGGCATTTGGCGAAGGAGAGGAGGTGTTCTTGGATGTCTCGGAATTCAGGGTGACATTGTGGGGTCCCATGAACGTGCCTTGAGGCAGGCAGTTTGTAACTTGATTGAGATGATAGGTGGTGGTATTTATTTATTTATTTATTTATTTCTGAGAGACAATGTGAGGGGGGTGGTGGTCGGAGAGAGAGGGAGACACAGAATCCGAAGTAGGGTCCAGGCTCTGAGCTGTCAGCACAGAGCCCGAT